CCTAAACCCCTAAACCCCTAAACCCCTAATCCCTAATCCCTAATCCCTAACCCCTAAACCCTTAACCCTTAAACCCCTAAACCCCTAAACCCCTAAACCCCTAAACCCTACTCCCTAAACCCCTAAACCCCTAAACCCTAAACCCTCATCCTCAGGGCTATGCAGGACCTTTTGAACCCTCTGATCAAATCCTAAGGCTCAGGCCCAAGGCTGGCATCACCTTCAGCAGGAACCTGGCCACAAGAAAGGAAGGATGAGGGTTTAGGGCTTAGGGCCTAGGGCTTAGGGTTTTGAGGGTTTAGGGCTTAGGGTTTTGAGGGCTTAGGGTTTAGGGCTTATTGGTGCTTACAGGGTTTAGGGCTTAGGGTTTAGCTCTAAACCCTTAACCCTAAAACGCATTCAGAGCTTCGCATTTTTGGGCTTTCACAAAGCAAACGGGGTGTCCTTAAGGACGTGAATCATGCAGAGAGCGGGGACCCAAGGGAATTCTAAGGGGTCAAATAGGGGATTCTATAAGGATAATGGACAAGAAAATGGAATCTACCATTTTGGGTTTAGGGTTTAGGTTCTAAACTTTGGAGTTCTGTTCAGGACTGGAGCGGACCTGTGCACCGAAAAGGATATGAAGATTGTAAGGAAAGAGTAGGACATTTTCGTGCAGTTGAAAACCCGAAGGGTGTGGTGTAATGGGTAAAAAGCTTTTGCTTCGTGGGTAGATTTCGGCTATGAGGTGGTAAAAATTATCGTGTTTCTTGACGGCCCCCAAAAGCATTCCGTCCTTAAGTTTGAAATCCCAAACCCTCAGCCTACTCCGTGAATCTTTCATTCTAGGATACCCAGAAGATGAGGTAGCTTGAGTGAATACCCACGTAATGGTTCCAAACTTCAGAGTTCCCGTGAGTGTCCTCCCCATCATCGCTTGCACTGGTCGACAGGGAATGAAGAAATGGGTTATAGGCACGAGTATACGGCCGTCAATGCCTGGGTAACTGTCCTTACCTGCCCATGTGTTGAGAATTAGAAAAAGCCAATTGTACGGTAACCCAATCGTAGCCTCCCATAAGTAAAGTTTCCAAAAAGGGGAGACCGCCTAGATACCCCTAGATACTATAGGAACCCCAAGAAAGAAACCCTAAACCCTAAACACACCCTCAGATAGGCCCCCCAATCTCCAAAGTAGGATTTTTCTCAGAATCGCATTATCGAATCCCCTACTACCCCTCCTATGCGAACCTCCCCCCTAGGTTCCCTCTTAATTAAAGATATTTCAACATAATTAGGGATTATTAAGGGTCAACCTGGGGCGTGGGTAGAATGTCGCGGGAGCTACTTGATTGAAGCTTCATGGGAATTTCCAAGCTACTTGGCTATATCTGTCTTGATAACCCTACTGAGCATCAACGTCACTGGACTTATGAAGGCTAGCCCACATGTATATAGGGTGGTAGTATATAGGGTGGTAAGGCCAGCTATAAGCAGTTTCCATGTCCCATGAACCTCCAGGTAGGAGAACCCGATACATCCAAGGTACGCTCGCTACTGCAGATGGTACGCTAAACAATGTGGCAGTTTCTCAGGATCGTCCCCCTGCTGTTGAGACAAAAAATGTTGCATGACCTTAGTAGACTACAGTACCATGCTTCCTAAGGTATAAGGTACCCACGGTCCTGCAGGGCTCTTGTTACCCAGCGTATGCTTGACCCTCATTACAAAGAACCGAGAACTCTGAATGACCTGCAATTTTCAAACTCAAGTCCCCACTGAACCTAAACTTAAACCCGAAACTCTGCTTGGAGAGTCAGGGCATATCCTGGGAATGCCACATAGTAGTCCATGTATCTCAATCTTTTAGCCTACTTTGAACTTCTTCTGCCAAATCCGCGTGTTCGTGCCGGGCGCACTGGAGGCCGGCGTAGAACTTATCCTTGGAACTCTGTTTAGGGTTTAAGGTTTTGGATTTTGGGGTTCAGGGTTTCCAAAGATTGAACTATGAGCTCCTAGTATGGGTCCTGGATCCTAGTGTCCTCATACACCTATTGTATACCAGAGTTAGGAACTAGGCCCGTGGATACGACCTTAGGAACTTGATAGTGTCGGCATAAAGGGCTTTAGGGATTAGAGTTTGGGGAATTTTAAAAAAAGGTACATAGGTTTTGGAAACCCATGTAGGGTTTGATTTCTAATTTCTTGAGGTTTATCAACTCAAGCCTCCATGTGGCCAATCCAAGGCCGTGGTTTGTACCTCATTCCATGGGAATATTTACTGCCCCCTCTTTAAGGACAACCCGGTCCGCTGAATAGGGGCTCTAGTAGCGGGTGGGGGTCTCTAATGGGCGCGGGTTGTTACAGGAGGCAACTAATTATTCTAATGGACATTGCCAGCTTGTCCCGTGGAACGGGCGGAGGCTGCATAGGCGTTGAATCCTTAAACATTCTTGAGTTTACAACAAGGCTTTCCAAAATCAGGGCTCCCCAATATGACCAATATGATGTATGATAATCCCTACGAAAAAGGACCCCCCAGACTTTCGACAGAACTCCCCCATTTGGGCTGTGCAGTCATCCTTCCTTGCACCCCTGGGCTAGGGTTAGCAGTATCATGGGTCTGATTAAGGGGGAACCTAGACAGGGTTCGCATAGAGGGGCTTGTAGAGAGGACTCCATGAGAATAAGAGAGTTGAACCCTATATATATATATATGTATATCAATAGAAAATACAAAGATAAATACGTGAATCATGAGGTCTTAGTTTGGGGGTGGGACGGTCAACAAAACTCGCTTGTGCGTTAGGGCTTCATTCATGGCGCTTCTTTTTTAAGAGGGACTTGAAGCAGGATGTTTCCATAATTGAACTGCCTGACCCCAGGTGCGCACCACGAACCCAGGACACTACATTGGCACACTCAAACCTCAAGCCCTGAACGCAAAACATGTTTTCTTATGCCCTACACCCTGAATCCGCAAACCTTAAGCGCCAGCTTCGCAAACCCAGACACACTTGAAGATCAAACAAATTTGGCCCAACCTCAAATGATCCGACTTTGAGATTTGGAAGAATGAGGAGCTAATGGATTCCAAAAGCTGTTCCTGTTCGAGGTTTGAATTAAACATGGTTTTGCGGCCTTTGTTGTGTTTACAGATACTTCAACTTAAAACTTCCTCCCAAGAATGACCCAGTAGAGTTGAACGAAACGGATTCAAGGAATAGGCGTCCAGCAATCTTTACAATCTTTCCTCGTGCAATTTGCAGTCTTAAGTCCCAAGATATGCCGGTTCCTGGAAATTGGCCTCACAAATTTTTTCGTTCCATATAATGCCAAGGAAAGTCCCTACGTCCTATTCCTTTCTTCCGTGGTAACCAGGAGGAAGAGATCATGCTTGGTCTAGAGTCTAGGGTAGGCTGCGGGGCCCTGTAAAATTAACTCTTTATGGTTTTACATGGATTATACAGGGGTTAAGGGTAGGTAATTAAACCCTACACCCGAAACCCTAATCCCCAAACCCTAAACTACCCCGATCCCTGTTGAGAAACGGCCGGGCGAGCCGGGTGCCAGGCATAGGCACGAGCTCTGTCGCCTTGTTGGCACAGCTCCTGTCATACACTGTCATACACTTGGAGGTTCAGGGGGACTTAGCAAATAGGTTGATAAACCCTATAACCCTTATCATAACCCGATTTATCCTAATTATTAACCTACTCAGTCTCCCTGAGCCTCCAAGCACCCCCCCAAGCAAACATGCAACCCACAAAAGCGTGCTGTGAACACTCCCGTCCTGGCAAACAGGGTCTGTATGGGGTTTCATGCTATTTTGGGGGAGGGTAAAGCATATTCCTATACATGGAGATTTACTCAAAGATTAAACTGTTGAAATCCTATTGAGGTCTATTTTGCTTTTCCCGCAATTCTGAAAAGCATTGATGCCTTCATACACCTGCTCGACATCTACAACCCCTATACCCTAAACTTCATATCCCCAACGCTCCACGTAAGCCACACCCTCAAGGTCAAGTTTGGGAGTCGATCCCAAAACCTCAGCCCCAAAGCCTAAACCCTAAATCCTCATCACTCATCAATAACGCCAAAACCCTGTACAATTCTTGCAAACCTTAAAATACCCCTACAAACTCCTACATGAACACAGTTTCCATCTCATGTTACATTTGACTAATTTGATTCTCCCTTGTGGATAATTTGGTAAGTATTCATGGTTTAGACCCTGAACTCCTTCAACAATCCCCAGTAACATAGGATTTTGCATTTCCCTTTCCTTCCCTTCCCTAAAACCCTTAAACCCTAAATCCCAAACCCTAAACCCCAAGCCATACAAATTGTATGGGGCGAAAGCAAAACAAAAAACTCTGCCAACAACCGGTCAAAACTCCCGACCTGAACCCTATACAGTTTGTATAAACCCTATACCTCTAATCCCTAAGCCCTATGCCCCAAACCCTCAAATCCTAAACCCAAACAGTTGGATAATATTTATATCATAGCTACATATAGCCCTTCATATTGCCCCTCTTATGGGCTGTTACTGGGTGGGGGCAAGATTCAACGAATAAACCCTGAACCCTAAACCCTCAAATCCTAAACTCTAAACCCTAAACTGTAAGAGGCCACACAGCCGGCCTTGCCCTCCGTGATCAACGCTTCGCCTTGGTAGACCAGGCGTTGGACCTCTGGGTCCTTGGTGACCTGTGCATGGTGTTGTAGGGCTTAGGGTTTTTGGGCTTAGGATTTAGGGCTTAGGGTTTAGGGTGTCGGGTCTAGGGCTTAAGGGTTAAGGTTTAGGATTTAGGGCATAGAGTTTACAGGCTTTCTAAGATTTGGGTCCCTCAAAGGAGATATAGGGGATATATAGGGATCATAAAGGGTTTAGGGTTTGTCTGGGCCTTTGGTGTTTCAGCTGGGGTTGTTAAGATTTTGGTTCCCTTTGAGGACCTGTGCAGGTGTCCAACTCAGGGCTTAGGCTTGTAGGGTCTCGGGCTTAGGGCTTTAGCGTTCAGGATTTCGTATTTAGGGTTTGGGGGTCTAGGGTTCGGGATTCGGGGTTTAAGGCTTTGGATCCAGGGTGTTATATGGGTTGTGTGTAGCATTTAGGATTTCCAGACTAGCCATGGGATCCAAGAAATGGAGCACTTAGGTTTAAGGGTCTAGGGTTCTGGGGTTTAAGGGTTTAGGGTGCCCTTACTGCATTGGGGAAATTAGGAGCTTGTTAGGGGGGTTGCATTGTTTGGATCTTTTAGGTGGTCTGAGTATCAGGAATCGTCAAAATCATGATCCGTTTTGTTTGGGTACTGAGTAATGTTGATCCAGGTTTTTGTCATGTTCAGGGTGGGGTCATATTGAGGGCTGTACATATGCAGGTGATGACAATTATCCAACTGCTAGTGGGTGAGTGCATTATACCAAATTAGCGTTGAAGTTGGTTTGGTTGGTTGAGTGGAGGTTAGTCTGCACTCATTTTCAATAGCACTGCGCACAGCAAGCTGTACATCCTTCACAGGCGCCTTCAGGACATCCCCATATTAGCTACAATCAATATTTCCCAGATAATGAATGGAAATGGGTTCTTCCTTTTTAGGGCCTATACTAAGGACTAGACTAAAAAAACTATCAACAGGGGCCACTTAGCGGAGTTGAGGGCGGTCAGGAAACACTGGGTACCCCGAAACAGGAGACAGCAAACCCTAAACCCCAAAGCTGATCCCTAAACCTACCGCGAATCCTGAACCCTAAGCCCTAAACCCTAAACCCTAAACCAACCTGAGCCCCGTCCGAACCTTAAACCCCAAAACCGTAAGCTTCTGCAATTGGACTGCGCCTCTGCCATTGCATTGGCCTGAAGATCTCAAGGGTCTTCCGGGTGTTGCTTTCATCCAGAGTCTACAATAGTGAGCTACTAATATTTCTCCCCTGGAAACCTGGCATCACTGTACTATAATGCACCACCAAACCCTTTGCAAGCTGATAGATTAGGCATGCCTACAATACCAGATCAACATTTAGACCTGCTGTTCGCTGCATCTAGACTTATTGCTTGTTCTCATTTCCCAGGATTTATGGATGCCTCAAGCTTGGCAGAAGCCTACATCATGTTCACATTGGAGTTGCTCATCCTAATCTGGGTTGCTGTTAGGGAACTTAAATTAAGTTACTATATTGGGGAATCCCAATTATTTGCTATATGTACCCTTAATCCAAATTCCTTAACAGCAGCCTAGTAATCCGTCTATCATGCCTAGAAGGGACCCCAGCAGTCTCCTTACCCTTCAAGGTGCTTGAAGGCGAGTTGGAGATCATTCCCAATTTGGTACTTTCCCAAGATTCGGGATACCTTTTTGCAGGTCCCTTTTATGAGGACTATGGTAATTAGGTCTATATTGGGGTTCCCCTAGTTAGGGAGACTACCATTTCCACTTCAGCACCAATAAGTTCTGGGCCCCACACGCGGTTTAGGGTTTAGGAAGTTTAGGGCTTACTAAAGTTGTCTACCTTCTGCAAGGTCCCCATGTCACAATCAGAGGGCTACCCTACAGCAATAGCTTACCAAGGCAAGGGAGTTCTGCCAGCTGAGTGGGGCTCAATTGAACCCGGCGCCCTAATGACTCATTAGGGTGGGTTTGGGGCCTATGGTCAGGGTTTAGGGTTGTGGTTTTAGTTGAAAACTCACAAGCCTCGGTAGCTGCCTTCAACTGGCCTTGGATGCTCTGGTTCACTATAACGTACTTGTTCTTACTGGGGGGTTAGTAGGGAATGAGGAAATATGATCCCGATATAAGCCCCATCGCCCCATCCAATATATTCCCATATTCCATACTTACCCAAAGTAAGTATTACAGGACTGATTATCAACTGGGACCCCCCCCCCCCAGTCGTCTAATATGGCTACAAGTAGGTGACAGCTACTTTTTTCTTTGA